CCAAAACCAAGCTCACATCTATATGTAAATTTCGAAACGTACCGTAACAAATTATATTCTCACCGCAGTTTATGATGGGTTTACGAAAACAGATGGCTTATATATAAGGTTAAGTTAGTTCCAAATACAACCATGGTTTCGTCAGTATTACGTGCAGCTAACAAACTGTGGTATGTTGGGATGGTGAATAAAACTAACCATACCACTTTTAACGATCGCCAAAAAATCTATTCTTGTTTGGATGGTTCCCAATTTTTTGGGATACCCATGTGCTCTAGCCAGCTCAGGTCCATTCTTTTTCTCAATAATCCCAACAATATATTGGCTACACCCTCCGGAGGGAATATTAGTCTCACATGTGTTTTTAGGTCTTCAGTCTGACTACCGAAACATACGTAATATGCTACAAAAAAAAATATTGACTAGCAACATGTGTAATAGGCCACAAAAATTTATATGTTTGGAAACTTCATTCGACGATGGATCCAAAAATATATCTTTTGTGGCATATAATACATGTTTCACTAGTCAATTAAGGCCGTCAAAACCCACGCCCGAAATATAATCGCATCTGGACGGAGTACTCAAATTTTGTTGGGGTTGGCTCAGGCACAAACATAACACTCCCATTGATCACCACGAAAGTTGTTGGTTGCCGTGCATTTGGCACAAAGCAATTCTAGCAAATCCTCACCAGCAATCAAGTACATGCATGCCATTGCACTTTAGTAATTTTTTGTCCCTTTTCTGTTGCCAAAGGAAGCAGCTTTGCCATAGATATAAACTCCAAGGACATGGATTCGTAGTCCTTTTCTTAGGAAGAGGAGAAGGAATGTGTGTAGGAAATACATGGATGTACTACATCCTAGTATAGAAAACTAGAGACAGTACGAGAGCAAAGCCATGGAACAACTCATCATGCCATTTGATATATTCTTCACGGTGAAGTGACATTCTTTGCTCTTCTTTGTGGAGAAAAGAAAAGGTTCTCTGCGTGAAGGCATGTAGTGGCATGTACCTCCTAACCAGTAGAAAAGGAAAGCCATGAGAGAACAAAGAAAATTCAACAAAGTCATGAGAACTCACAATCAACTCCTTGTCTTTTGATGTTTTAAATTCTTCAAAAGGAAAGCATTGCAAGATGGGGAAGCAATGAATCAATACTCCTTTTTTTGTATTAGTTAACTGAGAGACCTAGGTCTACGGCCGGTCAGTGATGACAATTTTTGGTTAGGCAAATTGGATAGCTAGCAGTGCATCCCTGAGATGCACTACAATACAAAGTTATACACATCCAGAAAAATTGCATTACATTTCATTGTCCATACATTGTCATATGTCCATAAATTCCAGGGGGCAACATATTCAACTAAGTTCTGAGATAATTTATTCATATGTCCATCCTATAGGAAGAAGAGTCTTGGCGTTGAAGAATCAACAATGGTGTCGAGAGAGAACCTTTTACTCACTGGAAAACAACCTTAACTTCTCCCATCTCCGTTCTAGAGTTCAAAAATTTCGATGATTCCTCAACTCACTGAAAAGCACCCTTAACTTCTCCCATTTTCTGTTCTTGAATTCACACAATACTGTCTTCTTTTGTGTAGTGCACCAGTAATGGAACAATGTTGTCGATCGTCATTTAGATGCACTCTACAAAGCTCTCTTAAAAAAGAGTGGTTTGTGCAGTACCCTAAAAGGTCACAACAGCTTCCTGTGTTCATATAAATAAAGTACATATTATTTTCTGTATTTAATATCATACATATATATGCATTGCTAAGTTAATAGCCAACGAGATATAACATGCATCACTACTATAGCAGAGTTAATTGCATTGTATTACATTTTAAATAAAACTTGATCCAAACTTCGTGTAGGTGTTCCTACAAAATGGATCATAAAATCCTAGCATACTACTATAGCAACCTAACACAATACTATTGTAATTTCTTAACACATACAACCTCCATGCCAAATTACTATCATGCGAACAATTGGCTCCTTAACACTAGAAAATGATTCTTCCTAGCATCAAGAAGAATATTTTCATAGTACAAAAATTATGCTTCCATCACAAATTGGAGACGTAACAAACTGCTGGTTTAATTGCGACAAATAATGTTTGTTGACGAAGGGGGAAAAAATCAGCCAGCGGGGCCTTCCCTTCTGATCCAAAAGCCAGCTCGCTTCTGATCCTGTGGCATCTGACTGGTCTGATAGGAAGTCGGGATCAGTAGGAGAATGGTGTTTTGGCTCCCAGGAGCGCGCACTCCCATGTGAATAGTAAATAAAAATATATAGTAAATGTTTTAGAAACATTCTGATTGTTTTTTTGTAGATGTTCGTGTTAGTATCGCAAGCATCCTTGAAAGTTTTCATGCGCAACGGAGTAGCGGTGTTTCGCCGGTGAAAAAAACAAATTTGGGGTAATATTTGGCTTTATTTTTTTTCACAGGCTAAAATGTTTAATCCTTTTGCCTACAAATTTGTATGTAGCATTTGGATGTGACAAAGAACACATAGAATTTGTGTTGAAACTTTTTTGGCATTTCAAAAAATATTTTCACGCGCAAGAGGTCGCGCTCCCGAGAGCACCAACGAATTTCCGGGATCAGTAGTGTGATGCCTAGCGGTGCCCTTAATGTATGTTTTTTTTCTATCCATGGGGCATGTTTAGTTTGCATAGTTGCATGTTAGAAGAATTATAACTAAGCGACCGACTATTTATCTATATAGGATTTGAATGTTTGGAACATGCGTAAAGAATCAAGCATGTACTTGTAGCTGCCCGTTGTGTAAATGTACATTTTCATGATATTAAAGAACCAATCAATCTCGCTTATAATCAGAATAATACAATTTTGGAGATTCAAACAATTGATTTTTAGAGCACTATTTTCTTTCAGGGCACAAAAATAGCACCATCAATCTTAATTTGCATACAAATAAAAGACAGAAACACATAGGGTCATGTATTCGAGTGTTCTAGTCTGATGAAGTGAAATTCCTTACTCTAACTTCTAAAAAAGGCTCTGTGCGTGTATATAAATAGTAGGATGTACCTCGTAGCCAGTAGAACACTCGAATAATGGATGTTGATAGGGCACGTACTAATTTTGGGAAAAACCAAATACGCCCTATATAAAGGAACAGAGGGAGTACTAGCTATGATACTTTCAATGCGGCCATCCTTAATCCAAGCACGAGGCACATGAATGCGTTCAAGTGACCCCACCTGTATCCAAAGCATATTACCTAGTAATTGATGCGGAAGAAGATCAGCTAAGCACATCAATTTGTGCTCTTGTTTATGGTATAAGTAAAGCAACATGTACGAATGATATTCAGGTGAAGATGATGAGTGCAAAATTAAACCCTCCATCGTACGCCATGCTGATGCTTTTCTTCTTCTTCTTCTTCTTCTTCTTCTTCTTCTTCTTCTTCTTCTTCTTCTTCTTCTTCTTCTTCTTCTTCTTCTTCTTCGGTCGAGCTTGACCACCTGTTATACCCTTCCAACAGGTATATATCTGAGCCAGATGGACCACCCTAAACCATTCATGCAGATGTACCTCAAGTAGCTAGCTTAGTCATATATAAGCTAAGCCACCGACCATGGGGTACATGAACGTCACTCATGGTTTACTGTTGACGACGTGCCCCAGCAGCATCGACCACTACGTCCAGAACCTGACCTCCTCCTACTCTGACAAGAGCAACGAGTCCTCCGTGGTGGCCACCTCCGTCTTCATGCTCGTCCTCGCCGCCGTCTTCTTCAACCTCAACCTCTCCAGCCGCGTCTCCAACACCAGCGCCGTCCTCAACCAGACCGCCCGCGCCGTCCTCAACTCCGCCCTCAACCTCTTCCTCCCCGTCATGTCCTACCTCTTCTCCGAGGCCAAAAACAGCCCCGACGGCGGCGCCGATCTCCCGGTGCGGGCTCGCCTCATCCTCACGTGGATGTTTCTCGTGGAGCTCCTCCGTAAGAAGGTGGAGGCCATCCTGGTCACCGCCGGCATGCATCAGGGCTACTCTAACATCATCACCCACGCCAACGCCGTCGCCTGGCTCGGCTACCTCGTCTTCTTCAACCTCAAGGTGGCCGGCGCCGGCCGGGTGGCCGTCTTCGGCACGCTCTGGCTGCTCTGCGCCGCCAAGTTCGTGTGGAGGATGGCCTTCACCGAGATAGGGAAGCGTTCCTTGGCCTACGGCAAGAACGCTCGCCTCCTCTCCTCGTACATGTCTGAAATGGTCAAGGACCCGCGGCATGGCGGCACCGCCGTCCAAGACCAGGACCTCTCTCCGTCGCAGAGGATGAAGATGTGCAAGTACGTCGTCATGGGAGAAGAGAACCTTATGCTGAAGCCCGGGCCGCATGGCTACGAGCTCGACCTCGACAGGCTCAACACCACCTACGACGACGGTGACCACATCGTCACCGTCGGGAAAATATGGGAACTCGTTGAGCAGGAGAAGAAGCCGAGGCTCAAAAGGCTCCAGAGGCTAAGCCTCTCCTTCGCGCTTTTCAAGCTGCTGCGGCCTAGGTTCGAGCTCCTGCCGGCCATGACCAAGCAAGAAACCGACCACTGCCGGGACCTCATCTTCCAAGGCCTGTGCAGAGTCGACGGCGACGTGGACCCAGGGGTGGCACTGTTCCAGGTGCTCAAGGACGAGATCAGCTTCCTGAGTGAGTACTACCACTCGGTCCACCCGGTGGTGCTGGCGAGCCCCTACTTCTTCGTGATCAACTACATCACCTTCCCCGTGGTGGTGCTGGTCCTCTGCTTCATGACCATCGCCCTCGCCGGCAACGGCGACATGCTCTTGGCCTTGCGCAGCGTAGGGGACGACAACTACGCCATATCGTCGGGCATATTCACGCTGACCAAGTGCCTGTGGAAGAACTTTCTCCACAAACGGCGGCCTTCTTCGCCATCATCGACATCTCCATCACCTACCTCCTGTTCATCACTTTCGTCTACGAGGAGGTGTGGGAGTACATGGTGTTTGTGTTCTCCAACTGGTTCATGGTGTCGCTGCTCTGCACCTACACCGCAAGGCGACGCTGGCAGGAGAGTAAGACCTACCGTGGCACTCTCCGCCACATCGCCTGGATCAGTAGCAAGCTGAGCCACCCTAGCCGTGTCACCCTCAAGCAGTTCTCCGTGCTGAGGGTTAGCTGGCTCTCCATGACTCTGCCCACCACGTCTCTACCAAGGCAAGCAAAGAGGTCGATAATGGAACGCTTCCGGTCGGCGGCATACGGCCGCGATGGTTTCCCGGCCCCCCTTAGCAACGGAAAATACGTACTATGCTCCATGCAACGGTACTCACACTTGTCATGGTTCTGCGACACTAAAAGTGTCGCAGAGGTCATCATCACCTGGCACATTGCCACCAGCCTCTTGGAGGCGACGTATCCAGGACTTCCCAGAGGAGGGACCTCGCCGACGGACCACCATAGGACAGTGGAGACAAAATTGTCCAAGTATTGTTCTTACCTTGTGGTCTTCCACCCGGAGCTGCTACCGGATGACCGGGAATGCACAGAGCGCGTGTACGAGGACATGAAGACCGGTCTCAAGGAGGCGCTCGGGAGTCGTTGGAACTACTACCTAGGGTCAGAGGACGCGCGGTACATGAAGATGATGGCGACGAACCAGGATAAGCTGGGCTCCGACTGCTGGGACAACACCATGACTATGGTCCAGAAGGGGATAGTGCTTGGAAACGTGTTACAGGGAGAGGCCAATGGAGACTATGGGGCCGTTTGGAATCTGCTTGCCGACCTTTGGGTTGAGCTGATTGTGTGTGTTGCCCCATCAAGCGGTGACGAGCACGTGAAACGGCACGAGGAGGCGCTAGTGCTAGGTGGCGAGCTCATCACCTTGCTCTGGGCCTTGGCCACGCACACTGGTGTAACCCGCCCACCGTCAACATCGTCCGTTGCCACGCCGGTCGGCGAGGATGTTGAAGAGGGAGTACGTCCTTGTGCATAGGCCTACCTATATACCTTTCTTTATATGCACATCGGTATGTGCTTTCTAGGTTTGGTTCAGTCGATTTTCCTTTAGTCCATGCATGCACGAATTGCCTTGAAGTAGCTGTATGCATGGCTGCATGCGGTGCCATGCATCCATGCCTGTACGCTGCACTTTCTTTTTCCTTTTTGTGCGTGTTAGTTTCTTTTATGCCTACGTGTGTGTCTGTGTTGTTTGTGCGCGTGAATCTGTGCGTGAATGTGTGACCGTGTGAGACACGGAGGAACCACTGATATGAGATATAGTTCACATTAAGCTTTGACATTTGTATGTGTTTCTGAATTTGTTTTTTTTTGTCGGTTTGATTTTATATGGGTATTTTTGGGATGTTGGGTGACTGTAAATGTATAGACTCAAGTACTATAAAAATGAGTGTAAATTACAATAAAGTGTGAAAACTTCAGCAATCATATTTAGTTTTAGTTTTAGTTTTTATTTTATTTTCCACTTTAGCTACTTGCAAGGTTCCTGAATTTTAAATCTGGAACAGTTGATTTTCTGACCATTGATTTCTACTCTAAGATTCGTGCTGCATTTTTTTTCTGTCCTCTGTTGTTTGTTGTGCTGGGCTTGTTTTTTTTTTTTGACTGACCCTATATTTGGGTATGTCGATTTTCTACTAGGCCAAAGCCTATCAACTATGCGATCTGGCCCTCATCTGTTCCTTTGTTTGTTTGATGTTATTTCTGTTTTTATGTGTTTTTGCTATTTTTTTTCTTTGTTCGTTCGGTTTTATTTTTCTTTTGTGGTTATTTTTGGGATGTCAGATGAGTGTAAATGTATACACATAAATATTATGCAATGTGTGTGGAATTATACAATTATATGATAATGTGCTACCGTAAAAAAATGACTAATTATTCTTTGCATACTGCAAAATATGCAATATCAGTGCAAAATGTTGTGCAAGTTTTTTTTTTCATTTTTCTTTATTTTTAAAGGGTAGTAGCAATGTCACTAATCCATCTTCCCTATAGAACTTCATTATTTTGAATTTTTTAGTTATTGTCTTACTCTTCTTTAAGTTAATAAAAATGTCACTACTTCATTCTTCTTATGGAACTTTTTTTTAGAAAGTTTCACTACTGTATGCTTATTCTTGTATATTTGACAAAAGTGCAATTTGTGTGTTATATTTTGTGCAAATTTTGTTATTGTTTGTTTTAGATTTATGTTTGTGTGTAATTATAAATGCAAGTAGAAAATATATGTGTAAATTATAGTCGAATGCGAAAATTGCACTACTATATGCTTATTCTTTGCATATTTGAAAAGGTGCAATTTCAGAGCAAGTTGTGTGCAACTTGGGAAAGGTTTTTCATTTTCATTTTCTTTCTTCTTAAAGGGTTTCATTCTTTCTTAGAAAAACTAACTATTTTGATTTCTTTTCCTGAAATGGTAATACCAATTCCACAAATTCATTCTTCCATAGAAAACATCATTTTTTTAGGTTTTATTTTGTTTTAATTTTCATTTTTCTTTTCTTTTGTAAAGATAATGCCAATCTCACTAATCCATTACTTTTTAGAAAACACTCTATTTTCGTTTTTATTGTTTGTTTTAGATTTTTTGTGTAAGTATAAATGCAAGTACTAAATAATATGTGTGTAAATTATAGTAGAATGTAAATACTGCACTATTATATGCTTATTCTTTCAATATATGGAAAAGTGCAATTTTAGTGCAAGTTGTGTGCAAGTTTTGAAATGTTTTCTTACTTTCTTTCTGCATAAAGGGTTTCATTCTTTCTTAGAAAACTCCATTATTTCATTTTGTTTTATTTTTATTTTCTTTCTTCTGAAAGGGTAATACCAATGCCTCGAATTCATTCTTCCATAAAAAACTTCATTTTTATATGTTTATAGTTTTTATTTTGTTTTTTGTGTTTTAGTTTTCATTTTCTTTTCTTTTGTAAGGATAATACCGATCTCCCTAATCCATTACTTTTTAGAAAAAATCAAGTGCTATCAAAATAGTTGTAATCCTTTAATTTTTTTACCTTTGGTACGATCATGTGACACTATTTAATTATGTATTTGAAACCAAAATCATTTCTAACCAAGCTTAAACAGTATAATGATGAATCACCCAGCATGCAAAACTTGCATTCATGGGCGTGCAGCATGCATGCAGCCTAGGTCCTGGTGTTGGGCTTGTGTACGTGGGCATGCACACATGCCGCTTGTGTACGTGAGCGCGGTGGTAACAAAGTGACTGACACCGCTAAAAAACAACAACAAAGTGACATACACTAAAATTTGTACAGGCAACTTGCCCAAAAACAAAAACCAGTCAACTTACACATAGCCAGTGTATGGAAGACACTAGAGGCTAAGCGTGCTTCGCAGCGCCTTTTTTCACTCATGCGATTAATTCCTTTGTATTTAGTAGATTATTATGATATATTATTATTAATTTTGGATTTTATCTGTGTTGGTTTGTGTTTTAGTTATGTTATGGCGGTATTTGTTTCCTTGTGTGCTGTGTCGGCTTGTTATCGAAGACATTATTTCTTCCAAGTGGAGAATGAAGTTGGTTGGTGCGTGGTTGTGTTCTCTTTCCATGATACGAACCTGATGTCAGCCGGTGGCAGTCGTTCGAGCCTCTTGGGACCTATTCTACACTGAAACCATGGAATTGCTGTTGTAACGCTCATATGGGTCGGCACACAAAACTCCTGCTCGCTCAGCATGGCTCCCTGCTCCTCTTGCTCGCTTAGCTCTTTTTTTCGCTCACCCCACTGGTAGCTTACAAAAATCGCCTATCCTTTTTTTTTTGAAAATACTAGTTTAATTAAAAGATGTTCAAGGATTTAAAAAATATTGTGCATTTCGAAACCATGAGTTTTAGAAAATGTTCATGAATTTAAATACGCTTATGGATTTCAAAAAATAGTCACAAATCAAATGTTTTTCCAAAATTAAATTTTCCACAAACTTAAAAATGACCATGAACTTTAAAAATATCCATGGATGAAATAAATATTTATTATTGTGAAAAATGCGATATTTTTGCTTTTTAATTTCGACAAATTTCAATAAGCACTCATGAATTAAAATATGTAGAGAAAAAAAGAAGAAATAAAATTAACAGCACACACGCTTACATGCGGGGCCCACAATGACCCCACAGCCCCCGAAGCAGCTGAACGCTTCAAATCATGGGAGCTTAGTATCTCTATTGATTAATGTTTTCAAGTTTAACTAGATTTTTTCTTATGTATATGATAGTTTTGCCTTTTTCGTTATTCATCAGGAACCTGAATTTTTTTATATTGTCTGTCTGTTGACACTGATTTTGGCCGAAGGAAATGTAGTGCGGTTAAAACAAATAAATTACTTCAAATGGTGAAAATGATAAAATACACCATTGAGTGGAAATGACCATGATGAATTTTCGCCGCTCAATATAGAATATCAGGCGCAAAAGTAAATAAATAAATAAATAAGAGGCAATATTTGCATAATTTGTAAAATGAATGAAAATATCTGTAAAATATTTATCCCAATAAAAATACAATTAGCGGGACACATAGTCTGCATGCATACACGCCGCCAACAACAACAAGTTTCTAGCGCCAACATAAAATTGTCGTAAGTGGCACTAATATCACTAGAATATTAGACCGTGTAAATGCGAGCCTTATTTTATTGATCATGTGAAAATCAATGTGGTTGATAAAAAATAGGCCACGCGGCGGTATATATATAAAAATAGTATGTTAGGCCATCATACAATTGTCCATGAAATAATTTTTGCCTATGTCTCTTTTCATGGCACTACAAAGAAATTAGAATTAATGAATTATTTCAATTAGTCATGCGTAGTTAGTTTATACTTTCTACGTTTCTAAATATAGGTCTTTCTAGGGATTTCAACAAGTGACTATATACGAAGCAAAATGAGTGAATGTACACTTTAAAATATGTCTATACATATCCGTATGTGATAGTCCATTTGAAATCTCTAAAAAAACTTATATTTAGGAATGGAGGGAGTACAAGACGTCTACGTACGGTGCATGCATGCTTGGAGTAGTTGCATGCATGGCCTAATCCATGAGTTAATCACCCTATGCAAACTACTGGGTTAGCATCCAAGGCCCACATGGTGATTAAAAATGAGGAAAGTATCGTTTTCCCCCTCAAATCCTGTCTGATGGACCGATTTCCCCCCAAAGTCTAAAACCGGATCAATCAGCCCCTAAACTCTCCAAAACCGGATCAATTCTCCCCCATGGTGGTTTTGCACCAGATTTAGGTGGTTTTGACTAGTCTCCTTGCTGACTGGACATTGCCGACTTGGCAGATTTCAGGTGTTTTCATCGATTGGGGGAGCCGGTCGACCAATCAGCCCCCAATTCAGGTGATTTCGGTCCAACCTCCCTGTGTCGCGACGGCGTCAAGCACGCCCAACCTTGCGGCGACGGCGTCAAGCACGCCGGCGGCGTCCGCCGACACCGCCATGGCGTCCACCCTGCAGCCGGCCTCCACGCCGCCCGATGGTGAGTCAACCGCCCCCCTTTCTTTCCCGTCGAAGTCATCTACTGCATGATCTTAGTTTAGGAGAAATCAGAGCTGCGCTTAGAAGTCATCTACTGCACCCAATTTTGCTGCCATGGCAGGCAGATGGTGGAGGTGTAGGGTAGATCATAGGAAGATTGTTTTTATGGGTAGGTCCTGAGCTACGTAATGAGGTAAAGATTGTTTTTTTGGGCAGGTCTTGTCGATGAGGCAGCAGATGAAGAAGAAATAAGTTATGTGTCACTACATTATTTTGGCAAATTTGAGACAGTGGATGGATTGCTTGTATACAACGGAGGTCTGATGATTACTTTTCCGTTCAATAGGAAAAGCCTAAAGTTTGAGCTTTTGTTGTCTTATGCTGAGGACATGTATCATGTAGAAAGAGGACATTGTAGGGGGGATTATAGTTACAAGATGCACTGGCTTGTTCTA